GTAAAATTTTCCCACGAGGTGGGAATCCAAGAATACCACCCACCTGGTGATATTATTTCGTGAGATTCTTATTAACAATTTTAATTCCCAAGAATCTCATTTTCCTATGAAAACTTTAAGAATACTTGTACCAAAGGTGGGTAACTAGGATTCCCAATGTGAGTTTATTGAGAATCTAAAATTTATCCCTCTACCAAACAACCAGTAATTCTTCTGAAACCTTAGCCTCCTTACTGCTACTATGCACACACATCACTCGCTTTGACACTCAACCTCATTATTATGCATAGTGATCTGTCACCACCTGCAGCTATCTCCTCCATAGACACTGTTTGTCCACAAAATCATTTTGGATCGAACACATATTGTAAGAACCCGCACCGTTAAATTAGAAATTTAATTAATTAATTATGAGATTAATGAGATAATTTCATAATTTACCCTAATAATTAGGAGAAGGCTTAATAATTATAGTAAGTGATTAATAATGTCGAAAGTCACTTTTCTGACGAAAAGTGCAGATACCGGTTTTGCCTCACGGTATAAATGTGTACCGATGAAATATCTCGAAAAATTATGAAAAAAATGTATATGTCACTAGAATAATATATAGGACTAGCATAACAAGTTTCAAGTCAAAATAATAAGAACTGGCATCAGAACTGATACTGGCTACGTAAAAGTGTGTACCGGCAAAGTGCTGCGAAAAATAAAATAAAAATATGACAAATCTTAGAAAAATGGCTAGGTTCAGAATCCAAAGTTTGGGATTAAAATGATTAGCGTAACTATTAGCGCTAATACCGACGATTAGCTAAGTGGACTTATAAATACTTAAGGGCACAATGCCCTAGGTCATATTCTAATACTCCCACGTAGAGCTTCTGCTGCTATTTGGCTGCTGCCACCTTTCTTTACACTATTCTATTGCCTTCCTCTCATGAAACCAACCAAGTCATAGTCTTTTCACTTGATTCTTCCTCTTCCATCTTGTGAGCACTTGAGAGTATACATTGTGAGGGAGAAAGACACCTTCTTGCCGAGTAGAAGCTGCTGTTTGGGGAAGGTTTGAGGCTGACTTCATTGTTTGGGGTTGTGGGAGCCTTGTTCATACCATTGAAGGCTTCAAGAAGCCATTTTGATGATGAAAGGTCCAAGCCTGTAGTGCATTTTCGTGACTTTACAAAGTCAGCACCTTGGAGCTGTGTTGGAGGCTCCAAGTCAGTGTCTTTTTCTGAGATTGTGAAGCCTAAGGTGAGCCATGATCATCCCTTTTGAAATTTTCATAGTTTGGCTTGTTTAATCCATTAAAAGTGAGACTTTGATCATTTGAGTTAAGGACTGATAATCTAAGTCTAAAATATGTTAATGAACATCTGTTTACGGAGTTATTGGACTCCAAATCGCTTTAGGACCCTTAAAAATGGATTAATGCAGAAGACAGCTCGAGTTTCTGCATTCTGTCTGATAAGTATTTGAATACTTTTCATGTAGTATTTGAATACTCATAAGCAGTAATCGAATACTGGGATACTTTTTTGCGAAGAAAAGTATTCGGATATCTTGAATAAATATTCGAATACTGTAGGTAATGTATTCGAATACCTGGTGATATTCGGATACTGAGTGGAAATTATTTGGATACCTTGTGGTATTCGGATACTTTCTGGAGACATGGAGTATTCGAATACTCATCGAGGAGTATTCGAATACCTCCTGCAGATTTAGTCTTAAATCATTTAAAATGAGTTGGAAAGCCAAAATCACTTAAAATGAGTTGGAAAGCCGTAATCACTTAATGAAACCTTGAGCAATGATTATTGATGATTACTTATTGTATAAACAGACTGTGATTGTGCTGTTTGGTGACATTGAGCTAGTATTGACTTGGCTTGGATTGATTGCTTAGAGGTAAGCTTTTGTGTCCTCGGTTTATCCATTGTTGGTTCCATCGTACCCCATGGGGGGAATGGTTTATATGCACGATGTGTTTTCATGTATTGATTTTGAAATGCTGTTGAGCTGTTTTGTGCAAGTGCCTTATGATATGCATGTGTTGTTCCACCTAGACGGTAAGCCTGTGTATGTAGGAGACATACCATAGGGTGAATCTGCGGGTGGGTGCAAGTAGTGACTTGCACTAATTGTAGGTAATAGACGTATGTAAATCCTGCATTTCTTTGGCCAGTAGAATAGTTGACACACATGACATGATTATTCTGCTGCATTGCACTGATTTGGAACTTATATTATATTACTGCTTTTGGAACTTATATTGCACATGTAAGTGAGCTTGGGGTGGAGAAATTCTTGAAGACCCCTTGTCTTACTGAGATTTCTGTTTAGAGATCTCACCCCACGTTTAGGGCACATATTTCAGGTTCAGGTAACTCGGGGGTTGATACCTCGGGCGGCAGGAGGCCGGAGCTGAGTTGAGATTATGTTTTTATGATGATATGACTTGGATGCTGACATGTTGTACATTTATTATTATGTTGTTGTTGTTGAGACTCTGTTGGACTTTGTTGCCTTATTTGGTGAGCATGGGGGTTGTCCATGCTACATTGAGTGACTATGTTTTATTTTAGTATTGAGTTGTATAATTGTATCAAGATTATGGTCCAGACTACGTGTTGTAGTTCCGTGACTTAGAGACTCACTTATTTTATTATGAGGTTATTCAGTGTAGTTAGCTGTTATTTGCAATTACATACAGGTAACATTTTGAAAGTGATTAAGTAATCAATTTGGTAAATAAGAATGATGTCATAATTGAAAAGAAAAAGTTTATCCTATTTTAATTAAGCGCAGCGTAATATGATGACATGATAACAAACCGGGTATACACGGGGTGTTACACATATTATTTAAGTTTACCACAAATATCTTATTTCCTTTTTTAATTCATTTTGAGTTATTACCTGATATAAGCAAGACATCTCTTCTCAAATATGCATAATTTCAATCTTATTTCTTTTTACATACATGATTCCAAAATTGCCTATCTCTTTTGACAATTAAACCACCTTTACCAAAAAAGAAAAAAGAAAAAAATCATTCTGTTTACATGAAGCATATACATTGTTGAAGCCCATTTTCAAAAGTGCTCCAAGATTCCAAATTTCCAAAACAGAAAATTGAGATATGTCATTGTGAAAAGAAGTGATTGAAAATCATTCTTGTGAGTATGTAAAGGAAAGTCTATTGTGTTTGGTGAAGGAGATTGAGATTGATGGTGATCTGCACTTGAATCCTTGAGATTTTGTAAGAGATTACTAATATATTCATTTGGTGTTGCAGTTCTTCATAGAACTTTAAGCAATAGTTCCTAAAATCCAAAGGTTCGCATCTTGTTTTTCCTAGAATGCTTGAATTCTCAGAAGAAATTTTTAAACCCATCACTGAGTCTTCTTGAAATTCCTTTGTAGAATATTTATCAAGAGTGTGTATGGGTCTATTGAAATATCTTTTTATTAATTGTTGTTATACCATTATTGATCAATCTTTAAAAAAAAAATATTGTGCCTCCTCACTAGCCGAAGGATGTGGTTTCTACTGATTTATACTTTAAAGGCAGATTTAGTGAAAATTATTATTTGTTTATGTTGTTATACCACTTCTTTTTGAGCTGTTATCTGATAGAAGCAACTCATCCCTTCTCATATATGCAGAATTCCAATATTTTTTCTTTTTGTACGTATAATTCCAAAAGTACCCCCTATCTCTTTTGACCATTAAACAACCTTAACTAGATAAAAAAATCATTCTCTCTTCACGAAACATATACACCGTTGAAACCCATTCCAAAAGTACTCCAAGATTCAAAATTTCCAAAATAGAAAATCAAGATATTTCATTGTGAAAAGAAGTTATAGAAAATTGATCTTGTGAGTGGGTAAGGGAAAGTCTATTGTGAAGAGGTGAAGGAGATTGAGATTAAGGGTGACCTAAAATTGAATCCTTGAGATTTTATAAGGGATTGATGACACATCCATTTGTTGTTGCAGTTCATCTAAGAACTCTAAACAATGTTTTCAAAAATCCAAAGGTTCACGTCTTGTTTTTCTTAGAAAACTTGAATTCTTGGAAGAAATTCGGTCTTCTTGAAATCCCTTTATAGAATCTTGATTGAGAATGTTTGTGGATCTATTGAAAGCTTTATTGATTGTTGTTATATCATTATTGATCAATCTTTAAAAAGAATTATTGTGTTTCCTCACTGGCCGAAGGATATGGTTTCTACTAATTTATACTCTAAAGACAGATTTAGTGAAAAATATTATTTTTTATGTTCACTCATTGTAATATTTGGCCCTTCATCCTTCTTGCATATTCATAGCAAATATTGCCTTTATTTTTCTTAAGTTCTTATTTGACATTAATTTATTAATTCACTCATAGCACTCATTGGTATTTCATATTTTTGCATACTCATTTTTTTAGCAATATGAATTTGGGTATTCTTGAAATTTTGAAGTGGTTAGGATTATATTGTTATTATATTATTATATAACCCTCCAATTTAAAACTAGTTTATTAACACACATATGGTACAAAAGCGCATCATAAAATGAATTCTTAAGCGGAAGACTTGTTCAAAGTATCACCGTTATTCTGTGTAATTAGGTGACTTAACTTTTTTCTTTTCTTTCTCCTTTATGTATTGTCGTACATAACTCAATTTCCATTTTATCTTAAACTATATAGCCACATACCTATACAAAATTCTTACTTAATCATTCGGTGACCATAATTAACGGTCAATGCCTATCCGAATATGATAACTTGTACCATTCCTGATAGAATCTTACGTACAACATAACAGCTGAAAGTTGGACAATCCAGGGATACTATCCCACAATCTTGCAAATCCTGAAATCCAGAAAAATGCAGTCCAACATATACAAATACAATCCAATACAAAAGGACCTAAAATCCATTCATGGATTTCTACAAAATTTGGCTCCATGCCAATTCTATCATACTTAAATATTGCAAATAAACATACTTATACATGCCAGAATTAGAAATAGATAAATGTATACAATATATCTCACAGATACAAACATAAGACTATACATATGCATGATCATATGTCATGCTACAAAATATCGATACAGTTATCCAAAATATCGTAAAAAGTCTACTTCAGCTGGTCTTCTAACAACCTTATACAGGCATCTTGCCCTGTGAGGGCTCTCCTACTGCTGGAGTACCTGAAATATATCCCCAAACGGGGTGAGATTAACAATCTCAGTAAACTCTGGGTTTATGAAGTAGTCTCCACTCATGAGTTCACTTCCTGCATGGGAGGTCAGATAACAAAGTATAGCAGAAATCATATATCTCACCATATACAAAATTTGAACCCTCTACAGGTTATCCCAAAGGATAAGTACCCCAAGAATAAACCTCAAATATAACAATTATAACAACCCTAAATATTGTATCATGATTAATGAAGAATTATGATAATTAATAAACGAGACATTTCAGATGAAATAGTTTATGATTAAGTAAATTAGAAGTATGGGTCCAATGGACCAAAGACATAAGCATTAGGGATCCAATGAATTCATGGATCAAAGTATAACCCAACAAAGGAAGTTTTAATTCCATTTAATGTGGACAAGTCCAAGTGATACAAAGAAAGCTCTATATGATAAAGTAAAGTCCAATAAGGTAAATGAAACCCAAATCAAGTTAAAGCCCAAAGTAAGGCCATGACATAATAAACCTAAAGAAGTACTATATGACTAGGAATTAAATTAGAATTCTTTCCCTACAAGCAAGAAGCCCACGGTTTTACTAGAGAAAACAAGCTCTAAGAAGTCAATTTAAAGTGTCATAAAATCATGGAAAAATAGGCACAAATTAGGTCAGGTTAATAGGTTAAAGGTCCATAATCTTAAGGAATAAATCATGGTCCAAAATTAAAGGAAATCTTTTCCTTCCAAGCATTTAAAATCCGCGGCCTAGGTGTAGGAAATGAATTTGATTTTATTTGATTTTCAAGCCATTAAATGCAAATCGAATTTCCTTAAGTCAAGCCAGTCAAATTCCTTTAAACAAGGAAGTTAGGATTATGATGATTAGTAGTCAATCACTTTTCCTAAATCAAGCAAATTGATGACAATATGTCAATCAATCAAATAATTCTGTTTCTTAAATCAAGGAAGCAACCTTTATGACGATTAGTCACACCTCATCAATCCCTTAAATCAAGGGAGCAACTTTTAATGACGATTAGTCACACATCATCAATTCCTTAAATCAAGCAATCACTAAATTTCCTTAATCAAGGAAATTGACATCATGTTCTTGTCCCTAAATTAAGCAATCTAACCTATGACAACAAATCACCACCTTACTCTCATTTAATGTGATCGAAACCTACCAGCAATCAAGTAATGGCAAGGCTTCTAGGTTGCCTATTTGAACAAGCTTTAGTCTCTCCTTTTTCCCTCTATAGCCGCGGCACTACCAAAGGAAAGAACAAAGAGTTTAGTTCATTTTGTGAAGTCCATGAATGCTTCGAAATGGTGAGTGTGTTAGTGAGAAATACCTAATTGTTCCAAGATCAAATACAAGCCTGGATCTTAGCCCTTCTTCCTAATAATTCCACCAAAGAACCCTTCATCTCTAAGCAAGAAAATCCCTCTTCTCCTCTCTTTAAGCTTGCGGCCTTGTATGTTCAAGGAGGAAGGAAGTTCATTCAAGAAGATTCAAAGTAGTCAAAGGTCAAGAAGTGTTTCCTTAAGTCGTTGATCATCATCAAAGGTAAGCCTATGAACCTTCTTGGTTAGGAATGACATGTAAAAGCATGAAAGTGATATCCTAAGTATATGATCCCTAGAAGGCCGAACCATGTATGATAATTATAAGCATGAAGAGATGTTTAAATGATGATGTTAGATTAGCATGTTTAGTAGCCTAGGTTCTAAATCAATTTTGCATGATCATAACCTTAGTTGGCCGAATATATAAGATGATGTTTTGAATGATGCTCTAGGATTTAAATATGATAAATTATCAATAATGTTAGAAGCATGTTTTAGAAGTAAACCCTTAGGTATTTTAGGGCAATAAGGCCGAATGGTATGTAGCTAAAAGAGGTTTTATTTGATTAATGTTGAAAGGATCTAACCATGTTAAGTTAATAATATAATTGAAAGCATGTTTTAAAAATTATATTCCTAGATGTTTATCTATGGTGGCCGAACCTATACATGCCTAGAAGAAATCTTTAATAATTCTATTAAGTGTTATGATGACCTAATAATGTCCTAAAACCTACACAAGTGGGTAAGTAAGCAAAACAACTCCTCTAGGTAATTAAACTTGCAAAGCCGAGACCTATACATGGATAAAACACAAATGTTGAATGTTATATAAGTTACTAAAAGATGATATGATGATGTTAGGGAGTCAAGGGAGCAAACAGGCAAGTAAAGAGATCAAAAGTTGAAAGTATACAAGTAAAGAACGACAAGTACTGTAAGTGTTTACAGTTGTTGAAGTAATCTCTCTATGTATGCCACCATTATGAAACTATGATAAGTTATGGTCTGACTGCAATATGTTTATAGTGCTTTACATTATGTGATTATGATATTTTTGAAACTTAAAACCATGCTATTAAATGTTGGCCTGTGCACTGATACTCCAGTTGCAACCTGACGAGGACTCTGGGTATCTCCGTAAGTCCGTAAAAGCCGGCAGGAATATGATGATGATGATGATGGCATGATATTTTTATATGATGATGTTAAATGTTCCATTTTGTATTGTTATTATAAACTGTTGCAGGAGTAAGCGTCATAGTTGGAGAATGCTCCAGCTGTGAACCTTACTGAGATTTTCCCCAAAATCTCACCCCCCTTGACCACCCATTTCAGGAAAAGATGAAAGAAAGTAATAAGAAAGTTATGTGGGAAAGAAAGGGTAAGAGACTGGTACGTAAAGAAGAAGAAACTCCACCTACCTGGGAAGAGAAACTAAAGGATCTAACATATAGAGGCCTATGGACTGAGGCTATGAAATTATTAATAGAAGCTTTTCCACATTATGATTTCGATGAAGCACTAAGTACACAATGGCTAGAGGAACCACAACCACATTATGACTGGGCTTATGATGCGGCATAAATTATGTTTTTATTTATGATTAGTTAATCTTTTTGGGATTACATTAAATAATGTTTAGTGTTATTTATTTTGTATTGACGTTTTAACGCTTTTAATTTTATATGGAATAAGTATGGTTATGTGTTTCCATTCCGCACTCTGATATTTGCATTCGTAAAGTTTAAATTTAGACTTCCGCGCGTTGAATGCATGATGAAGGTGCACCCTATATGTATTTACATTTGGGGTGTTACAACAATAATTATTAAAAATTGAATCTTCTAAGGGTCGTCTCAATGGATAAATTCCCCAAAGAATTTACATACATAATCACTCCAAGGGTTGTCCCAATAGATAAATTCCCCAAGGAGACACCAAACATAAACATTCCAAGGGTTGTCCCAAAGGATAAATTCTCCAAGGATGGTCCACTTCTAAGGGCTGTCCCAATGGATGAATTCCTCAAAGAAGTTCCATAAACAACCACTACAAGGGTTGTCCTAATGGATAAATTTCCCATGGAGGGTCCATACATGATAATTCCAAGGGTTTTTCCACTGGATAAATTCCCCATGGAACATACAAAAGGGTTGTCCCAATAGATAAATTTCTCAAAGAAGGTCCACGTATATGTTCATTGGCCAATAACTGATCAATCATTCAATCATTACACAACATCTATTCATTCAAATCATCACATCACATCACTCATCACTTGTCAATCAATCATATCATATCAACTTATATACTTGAATCAAATCCCAACATCTTGTACTCTAATCACATCATCTTGTCATACATGTAGTTGTCCTATATGAATGCAACTATGTTAAGTATCTAACATCCATCACAACATATATACACAAAACCACAATTGCACTGAACCATAGCGGAACAAATAAAGAAGGAGAAAAATACTAAACTGAAAGCTTACATCTTGAAGTTCTCGAACCAAGCTTACTTGCACTTCAAAAAATTTATCCAAAACTTCCCAAAATCTGACTTCCAAGCATTAGGTCTCTTGTCTCCAACCTAGTTTACAAACCAATAATAATCAATACCAATTAAGGTTAATTCCAATTGTTAAGCACCAAAGTCTAACACTTGACATATTCATCAAACTTGCAAAAGTCATGATTAAGTTGGTTCAAACACATTGCTTTCATAACAAATACTTTCTTAACATATTTGACAAGCCAATTCATGCCCAAATAAGTCATAACCAATTAACTCATATATTAAAGAAAGCTAACACATCATTACTCAATATGGATACCTATTCCCAAGCAGGGTTTTTATACCTTAATTTCACTTTACTCAACACTAGGAATAGCTTTCAAGTTTCATTCAAATTTAACAAAGCTTCCTAAACCTCTTTCCATGCTTTGGTCGAAGCCATACCATAATGGGTTCATCATGTTTTCTAGCTCTCATTTACTAACAAATTAGCTTACTATGCTCAAGGATCATCATCCAACATCAAAATCAAATTAAGCTAACCTCCAACCTGGTTTTACCTAACATAACTGAAACATAGCATATAGGGTTCCTTGACTTCTTAACCTTTTCAATGTCAATTCCACAGTTCATTTCACCATACATTAGCCAATGACCAATAATCATCATTAACATCAATTACCAAGAATGCTTATACTCATAGAATATAGCATAAACAAACTTACACACCTTGTATTCACTTAGAGTGACACTAGGAACTACATCAAAACATCAAACATAATTTAGCAAGTTTCCAACCCCATTTTGTGCAAATGGGCCGAAATAAAGCATGATGAAATCATGAACCTTTCAAGCTTTCTAATGGACAATTCGCAGTCCATCTTAAACTACAGTATCCAATAGACATTATCCATCATCAAGACAACATCAAACAACTTCCCACATGATTTTTCTACACATGGCCGAATTGAACATATAAAGGGTTCATGAATTTTTACAAATTTCCAATGGCTATTGACCACATCATTCAACCCTCTGCTGACCACTAAACATTATTCCATATTAACATATCATCAAACACATCATTTACACGATTTTTCCAGCCATGGCTGAATTGGTCATAAAGGGAGTTCATCCATTTTTCATGCTATCATGATTTCAATATAATTTAATCAATTCCACAAACATTAAGGAACACATCCTATGATAAAGATAAAATCAAAAAACCATATTCATCATGGTCATCAAATATAAAAATTCAAGAGAAAACCTAAATCCAAACTCAAGAAACTAACCATTAAAATCATTTTTTTTTACCTCCAATGGGTTCTAAATCACCTAAAGATGATTCTCCATACTTTAAACCATCCAAACAGCCATCATAACTCCAAGAAGATAAATAGTAATAGTGGCTGATTAGTGAAGAAATCTTACAAAATATAGCTTCTTTGGATGAACAAAAACCAAGGTTAAGTTCCTAAAGGCGCAAGGATTATTTTTGGTGAAGGAAGCTAAGTCTAAAAGTAAGTGTATGGCAAGATGCAAGCTTGGAGCACTCAACCATGGAGTCTCGGTCCTAGGTCTGCACTTCGAAGGTTGAAGGAAGAGAAGTGACCAAATTTGTTGTCTTAAGTTACTTTAAAGGGCCAGGATATTCTTACACCGGTGTAAGAGTTAGAAGTCTTACACTCAATCTTGACCATTGATCCACTTGTATTCAATGGCTAATATTACTAAAAAATTAGAGCCCTTAGATATAAGTGAGATTAATGGACAAGATTGAGAGTGTAACTTACACCGGTGTAAAATGATCCTGACCCTACTTTAAAACATATAAAGTTTGACCTTGACCTATAATGCTTGTCATTGGTTGATAACTTAATAAAACTTTGACCTAATTAATCATACATTCTAATCATAATTAAAACAAACTAAGATCACTTGAACTCACCATTTTCTCTTAAACAATCTAATTATATCATCAAAATTAAGTTTAGGCAAAGTTTTGCCTATTTGCAAAATATCTCTAAACTTAAACAAATTTAGAATTTGACACAAAAACTTTTCTAATGATTCTATTTGGATCCTAATTAACTTGTTTGGCATGAATTGTATCCTTATTCATATTATCATGTTAATCACTTGATTAACTTGTCACAAATTCTATCAAAAGCTTACTTAATCCCTTGTTTAACAAAACTTATTGATCAAATCTATAATTAACTTCCATTTACCAAAACTTAATAGTGTGAGTTATTATATTCACCCCAATTTTTAAAAGATTTTGACCTCAAAACCAAGATCATATTTATCAGATACCTCAGGATATAGTCAGAGAATCTCATCCTCCCCCTCCCAAGTAGCCTCCTCAAGCGCCCTATCTTCCCATTGAATCTTAATCATAGGAATGGACTTGCTTCTCAATTTCTTTTCACCTTTATCAAGGATCTTTTTCTGTTCATCTGATATTGAACCACGAACTATCATGGTCTTACCTCATCAGTACTTATTCAAATCACAATGATTTTAACTTTCACAATCTGTATTCTCACTTACTTGAGTATATGATTTAGTTTTTCTAGCTATAAGTCATCTAAGTTTCTCTTTTGTTTCATACCTCGTACAGATACCCAAACATATTGATAACTCTCTAGTGTAGAGTTATTTTTAGGCTTTATTAACATGATTTGGTGCCATATTATATCATAATTCCCTTAGAATTGCATGATATTAGCATTAATGTTATCTTTTTATGATTTGATTGAGAAATATGCTAAGTGTTGATATTTCATGTTATTAATCAGAGCTGTAGCAATTGAGCTTAAGTGAAACAGTGTATTGTTGGTGCAAGAAGTAACTAACTTTTGATTTTCAAATACTAACAGAAAGATAAGAACGCTGCAGCACTGAATCAGGATAAAGAAAATGGATAAACACATATCATTTCAAATCCCAATATCTTAGCTAACAAGAAGATCAAATCAAGAAGTTGTGCAAGATAAAGGATAAGTACATACCACTTCAAATCCCAAGATCTTAGCTAACAAAATCAAGAAGTTGTGCAAGATAAAGGTTAAACACATATCTCTTCGAGATCTTAGCAAGATTAAAAGATAAACATTTATCCTATTCAGAAGCTAATTATTAAGGATTAACTACTTGAAGCCCAACTCCACATTGCTTATAAAAAGAAGAGCCTACGCACGTCCAAAGGGAGCTTTCAAGCGGTGAAACACTTAGAAGATTTTAAAGCTAAGTGGAGAGAGATCCAACGAAGCAAAGAGTGAGGCTAGGGTTTAATAGAGAGATCACTAAATCCGGTTGATCCCTGCATTACTCCGGTGGCGGAGCCCAAGGTTGCTGTGAGAGCAGAGTTACAGCAACGTCCCTGTTTATTTTATCTTAGTTCTATGGAGTCTTTATAATTCTTTATTGTTTCTTGTTATTCAAGTACGAGCTAAATTGTCTTTGATTGGGTGAAAGAGTACCCATATTGTGATGTAATCAGTTTGCCTAAACTTTGTTATGTATTTTTCCATGAAGTGGTTTAATAAAATGTTAAATTATCTCAATCTTGTAAACTCATCGAAAGAGAGTTGAGAGTGACATGAAGTTTAGGCTATAGATATATAGAACATCCTTCAAAGTTATTAAACATTATGGGTTAGCTGATTAAACTTAGTTAATAGTGGTTAGAGAGATCATTCACATCACAAAATTATAAAGAACTCGCACTTAATGGAGTTATAACTATGAAGCATAGATATATGGGGATTAGTATACATGTATTGTTGGAGAGAGCCATTGCATGCATGAGTGTTCTGATTACTAGGGTTGTGCATGGGTCAGGTCGGGTCAGGTTTTGGTCCGACTCGACCCAACTTGGTTTTTATAGGTCAGTTATTTGACCCGACCCGCTTTAATTTGATCCAAGTCAGGTCTGACTTGGTTTGGATTTTGTTGAACTAGTTCATAACCGGGTCGGATCTGACCTGACTTGGTTTTTGAAATGGGTCTGACTTGGTTTCTGAAGTGGGTCAAATCTGACCTAACCTGACCCGTTTTTGACTTGGTTTCCTCACAAAATTTCGTTAAAATTTCTACGTTGCAAACGACGCAAATTTGGTCACAAAATTATTTTTTCATCGGAATACTTTTTGTCGAAAAGCGACGAAATTTTTTCTCTAATGAAAATTTTTACAAAAATAAATTTTCTATCGAAATTTACTTTCCGTCAAAAGTTGTGACGAAAATGATTTCTTCCATCAAATGTTTTAAACGAAAAATAATTCTGCCAAAATTTTGACGAAATGTTTTTCGTTCAAAATTTCGATGGGAATGTGTTCTGAGGAAAATTTCGACGGAAATTGTTTCGAGAGAAATGTTTCATCCGAAACTTTCGACGAAATTTAGATTCTCGAAAGAATTTTGACAGAATATTTTTTTCGTCAAAATTTTTTATCGAAATATTTTTTGTCACAAATTTTTACGAATTTTTTTTACACAGTTCCGTTGAAAATTTTGATGGAAATATTTTTTATCAAAAAACTTGACGAAAATATTTAGTTGAAAATTTTTGATGGAAATTTGTTTCGCTAAAAATTTTGAGGAAATTTTTTTGTCAAAAAGTTTAACGAAAATTTTCCATCAAAAATTTTCGCCGAAATTTGAAATCTGTAAAGAATTTTGATAAAAAAAATTTCCGTTAAAAAATTTCAATGGAAATGTGTTTCGTCGAAATTTTTGATAAATATTTTTTTTTGTGAAATATTTTGACGAAATTTAGATTCCGAAAAAAATTTTGATAAATAAATATTCCGTCAAATTTTTTCACAGAAATATTTTTAGTCACAAATTTTGATGAAAATATATTTTGTCAAATTTTTTTGCGAAATTTTTTTATGGTAATATTTTTCGTAAAATTTTTTGACATAATTGTTTTACGTTCAAACTTTTCTTTTAATGTAATTGTGGTTTTTTTTCTTCTTTTTTTCACATAATGGGTATGGGTCAAGTTTTGGGTCAATTGGTCAATATTAAAACAAGTCAGATCTAAAAATGACCCAAATAAAAGTGGGTCAGTATTTAAACCAGTTCAAAAAATATAAGTATTTATGGGTCAGATCAAGGTCGGATCAAAGGCAGGGCAAGTGAACCAGTTTTTTTGCACACCCCTACTGATTACTGATTGGATAATTGTTATAGCATTCTCACTGCATTATGGTGAAGTTACAATATTACAGAAATTGATCCCAATCTACCTTTTGAATACTTAAAATCTATGTTTTATTGAGTTTTCTTAATTAATCAGTAGCTTTACCATAGTTTAATATTTGTTTAATAATTTAGTTATTAGTTAATCCTCAAATATTATTGTTACTCTTATTGCTTCACATAGAGCCGTAGCTTTACTCAATCTCCATGGGTATGATACTTGGACTCATACATCCACTCTATTACGTTTGACAAGTGCACTTGCGTATTTGTGTGATTGATTTATATAATTGATCGCAAATTTACACAACACATATATTTACCTTTCACAGGCATCATCTTAAGAACAATCCTATAATCATAATTAACAAATGACTACCAGGAGTTTGAGTCATCTCTCGAATAGTCCTGACAGAATCTTTGAGAACTTAAGTCCTCACAGAGAATAATAGAGTATGTTCATTAACCAACAATTACAAGTCTACAAATCAAATCACAACATAATTGACACTTCCAAGGGCTATCCCAAAGGATAAAATCCCCGAGGAAAGTCCATACTTACCCATTTCTAGGGCTTTCCCAAAGGATGAAATCCTCAAGGAAGGGTCATATATTTTTATTCTATTTTTAGAAACCTCCACGAGTTACACTCAAAGAATTCATTTCTTAGGGGCTCTGTTAGGGTTTTTGCGAGAATCACACGATGAGCTCTATCAGGGCTTCGGGGGGAATCGACATCAATAAAGGAAACGATGATACTCTGTCTGTAGAAGATGAGGATCTACTGAGGAAAAGCATTGAGAAACCAAAAAAGGATGGAACAGTGGAAGAAACCATGGTGGAAGCAGATAAGGGTCTGAAAGCCGTGGAAGAAGAAATGGTGAATGCTGAAAAAGATGAGGAATGCAAAGGGGAAGAGGCACCTACGGCCAGGAAAGTGGTCTCTTACAAAGATACCCTCCTCCAGTTTAATGGAGCTAGTAGGAAGATCGAAGAAGAGGAGCATTAGATGGCCCAACAGAGGAGAGAATAAGAGGAGGCAGATGCTTGGGACGAGAATGTTGAGCTTGATGAAGAAGATCCCTTCTTCTACCCAACCTTCAAAGTTCCGAAGGAGATCCACCGAGAAGCATGTAAAAAGTGGAGAAATGCATTGATAGTGAAGTTGCTGGGTAAGCGTCTGAATGTCAAATTTCTCTTAAGCAGAATGCTGAAGATGTGGAACATATCAGGAGCCTATGAGTTCATTGATTTGGAGAATGATTTCTTCATCTTCAAATTTACGGATGAAAAAGACTATGCACATGTGCTTGAAGATGCACCCTGGATCATTGCAGATCACTACGTTACAGTCCAAAGATGGAAGCCAATATTCGATCCATTTGATGAAACGATGAAAAATCTTGCTATTTGGATCAGAATTCTGGGTCTCCCAGTTGAGTACTACACCACACATTTATTGTGGAGTATTGGGAACATGTTTGGCAGAACTCTGAAGATTGACAAGAATTCGTTAAGCAAGACAGGGTCTAGAGTGGAAGAGACTACAAAGCATGCGAAATTTGCCCGTATTTGTGTGGAGGTTAATCTTTCCAAGAAGTTTTTATCGAAGTTCAAAATAGGTAATAGATACTTCAACGTTGCTTATGAAGGCTTGCACCTCATCTGCTTTGGTTGTGGCAGATATGGGCATAGGAAAGATCTGTGTCCGGAGTTGCAGGGTAAAGAGACATGGGAAGGAAGCAAGATAATCAAAGCAGATAACCAAAGAGGCAACAGAATGTAAGAGATCAAGCAGATGACAACGGATCCGTTCGGAGAGTGGATGATTGTTCAGAGACAATCGAAAGGGAGAAGAGCTAAGGAAGTCCAGAGAAAAGTCGATGAGCCAAGTTTGAAGCAGACAATGAATAGTACCAGAGTGGAAAAGACAAGGCAGAAAGATAATAGTCACATCACTAAGACTCACGCAGCTAAAGCAGCTGGCTCACGTTTTGAGATCATCAGAGAGGTAGAGGAGAAAACCGCGCTGAAGGCTATGAGTCCTGTGCTAGATACGGTGGTGGCAGATATTCAAGTAGAAACCCCACCTAAGGTGACTACCCAGCCTGAGGGTACTGAACTACTGTTGAACCAACCTGACAGGAATGAGGTAGTGGAGAAACCTAAGATGGACATAGGGAGCAAACCCAAAACTAAGAGTCTCAAGCCAACCAAAAATAAGCCCTTTAAACTTAGGCCCAAAAGAACAATCACTAAGCCCAACCAAAAAACTACCCCAAATACCAAAAAAATCACCCCAACTACCAAAAAAGGCCTCTTAGTGACCAGAATATTTAAACCGATGAGCATGGGAAGCCTTGACACAGGGGAATGTTCAAACTCAAAAGGAGAGTGTAGAAGTGAAGTGGCTAATGGAGATGCTAAGGAGAATATGAACCCACAAGGTAAACCTCCGGATGATCTAGATCTGATCAGAAATTTTTCCCAAACAGCTGAAGGGAAAGATTTTGATGCTACTTTGAGTACCTGGGATGGTACTAAGGTCTTCACTGAGATCAATAAGTGAATCATTCCTAGGGATGGAGTGGTTTTATTTCTGTTATAAAATGTTTTTTATGATAGTTTGCAGTTGGAATTCCAGGGGTGCCGGAAAGAAAGGCTTGCCTCCCCTTATACATGATATGACCAAGAAGTTCAAAATCCAAGTTTTATGCCTTATGGAAACTCGAATTAGTGGAGAGAAAGCAAGGAGATGCATATCCAGTTGGGTTTCAACAACCATCACATCCAAGAGGCGGTTGGCTACTCAGGTGGTTTGTGGTTGCTTTGGAATAATGAAGAGGTGAAAGTCAAAATCATCTCTTCACATCATCAGTTCCTTCATACTTCTTTGGTATGGAAGGAATCTAGAAAGGAGGAGCTGGTTACTTTCATTTACGGAGCCCGAGATGCATGGAAAGAAGAACTCTATGGGAGAATTTGCAAGAGCTTAGCATAGGAAGATACGATGCCTGGCTAGCCATGGGGGAATTTAATGCCTACCTTAAGGCGGAGGAGAAGAATGGGGGTGTTGAACCCCACTGGACTTCCATGACAGAATTCCGCAATTGTCTGGAAGAATGCAATCTATCTGATATCGGTTTTAAAGGGCCCAGATATACCTGGAAGAGGGGAAAGCTGGCTGAGAGATTGGATAGAGCATGCAGCAATGAGAATTGGAATCTTCGATTCCCAAACAGGTTTTTATCCCACCTCCCTTTCTATAGCTCTGATCATCGACCGTTAATCCTCCTTAGTGGTACTCCTCCCAAGGGAACCAATAGCATTAAACCATTCAGGTTTATGGCTTCTTGGCTAACTTGTGAATTGTTCTATGGGATTATAAATAGTTGCTGGGGGGAAGCAGCTGTCTGGAAAGAGGCTTGTGAAAAATTTAAGGTTGAAGCCTCAAATTGGCATAATGAAACGTACAAAGAAGCCAACCGAAGGAAATTTCATCTACATGCCAGAATCAGAGGCATAGATGAAAGATTGAGTAGGTAACATGATTCAGATCTCGAAGATATCCAGAGAAACCTGTGGAAGGAATTGAATGAAATTTACCTCAGGGAGGAAATCCTTTGGTTCCAAAGATCTAGATGTAAGTAGCTGAAGTTTGGAGATAGGAATTCTAAGTTTTTCCATTCCACAACTGTTGCAAGGAGAAGAGCTAGCAGAATTGACTCATTGATGGATATTAATGGGAATTGGATAGGAGAACCTGAGTTACTGGTCAATATGATCTCGAGTTATTTTGAGGACCTGTATACTGAAGAGAGAAGATGCAAATTAACTTTCCCTGTTAAAGGGACCTTCCCCAAACTGCGCAGCCAAAGACTTCAGGGGTTATCTAATATCCCATCAGGGGAGGAAATCAAAAGGGTGATATATCAATTTGGTAGCTATAAGGCCCCTGGCGCGGATGGGCTAAGTGCAATCTTCTTTCAGTCCCAATGGGATAAGGTTGGCAAGGCTGTTTGTGAAGTGGTTAGGAAAGCTTTTAGTAATCCTGAAAGTATCATATCCATCAATCAAACCTTATTGTGTCTCATTCCTAAGGTGGAGTGCCCAGATTCAGTGAGACAACTCAGGCCTATCAGTCTATGCAACGTAATCTACAAAACTATTACTAAGGTAATCTCTAATAGACTCAGAAACCACATGAATCACTTGATTATGCCAAATCAGTGCAGTTTCGTGAAAGGGAGACATAGCTCAGATAATATCATCATTGCACAAGAAATTATCCACTCAATGAGGTCCAAGAAAGGGGAAAAAGGATGGATGGCTGTCAAAGTTGACCTTGAGAAAGTATATGATAAACTGGGATGGGATTTCCTTGGCCAAGGTCATGCCTTCAGAGCCGAGTTATGGGGATGCCTAATTGGGTTAAAATAGCTTGGGAGAGGGGCTTTACAAACATCATTTTAGAAGGAGACTCATCTCAGGTGATGGACTTGATAGAGCCCGAAGATATGGGGGATCATCCGCTTGCCCCCATTGGAATGCAGGTAAAAGAAATGCTAAATAGGAACTGAAACATTCTTCTTAGTCATACGCTAAGAGAGGGGAATATGGTGGCTGATTGGATGGCCCAGCAAACTCTAGCTGTTAGGAGGGATATTGTCATTAATTTTTCAACACCATGTGGGTGCATTGATCTAGTCACGAAGGACAAACTGGGTTTTGAAAGTCCCAGAGTAGTTAGGTAGTGTCTTTATTATCTTGTAATTTTCCAAAAAAAAAAAAGAATTCATTTCTTTTAAGGAGGGTTCAATCAGGTACTCTCAAGAATCATCACTTTTAGAGATCATTCCTTTAAAGAAAGCCCCATATTTGACAATTCTGTAAATTAGAGAATTCCTCATTCACTTGCAAACCCCATCACTAACCTAGATTGACATTCATGTAACCTAAGTGCACATAAACAATCAATTTCACATGACAATGCAAAAGTCTTTTATTCTTTGCCTCTAGATGTTAACATACATTCAAGTATAATTAAAGCATGATATCTTTTTTCTTTACACAATTACTCTTCACTTTTTTATGGTTTCTAGCCATAATCTAACCCTAGAGGTTTACCATTTGGTTCCCAAACCCACCATTTTCATCTTCTTACCTTTCATCAGAGTAAAAGTACTCATAACATCACAGTCATTTACACAATCTTACCGTTAATCATATCCGGTGTCTTCTCAGAATGTTGGGGTTCCAAGGTATAACCTCGACCTGCAACTGAAGGTCCTAAAACTATCTACATAGAAGAAATCTATCCTCCACTCTAAGGACACTCCTTAGCGAAATGGCCTGGACTGCACCTATAGCACACATTTTAACCCCGCCAATAAGGGCTCACATGATTCTTCCTACACTTGTCGCACTTGGGTACCGAAGATCTCTCAACATCACCACTCTTCTGATTCCCAGATTTCTTAAATTTATCATCAGATTGTTTCACTTGAAAATTCATGTCTTTATTCTTCTAGGAAGAAGTCTTGCTTATAGTAACCTTAGAGTCAGATTCTTTCATATTAGATGGCTTCTTGAATGTTACATACAACCTACTCATGCCCCTATACTTCCAGAGGATGAAACAGCAATTCGTCCATCTCTAACAACTACAACACAATTCATCCCTACACCTGAACCAGCTCAATGTATGTCGGCAACTGCCGATGAACCCCATACTATATCCATTCCACAACCTATTTCAACATCACCTCCTATCACCACAAAAATTCAACCTTAAACCTTAGCTACTGACAACCAAAATATTGATTCCAAAGAAATAGGAGCCCTATAACAGACACAGAAAATTAATGACCCGGTGCAAGCCATACCCCTCAGCTATACAAATGCATCGAAAATGAACTTGGGAGCCCTTGGCAAAATGTTTGGGAGTAGGCTTGAGAAGCTACTATCTTCCTCAACCCTTCAACAGGCCAATGCCCTACAGGGGTAGTCGGATCAAACGTCTGCGGACAGTGGATTGTTGAGGGATGTTGTTAACAATCTTTCTTCCTCTTTTAATCAATTTCAGGAACAGTAGAAGAAGAAGGATGAGGAACTGCTTCAAGGAATCATATCAATAGCAGAACAACAACCTCAGCCTCAAGCTCAACCTACAAGATTAAACATGATGGATTTAGAGGCAATCTTGCGCGAAATCCGTGAAGCTCTTACAAATATCAAAGGTATGAAAAATGTGCAGATAACCAAGGCTGGAAGAGCCCTTCAGACGCTTCTTGACAAACATGTAGATGAAAAGAAGGAAAGGGAGACCGCTGGTAAAGAGCTGAGAGCACTCAAAAAATAACTAATTGAGTTCTACAAAGAGATAAGCCTAAGGATAAAGGCGATAGAACAACACATCAAAGATGAAATTTGGGAGAAGAACACATTGTGGAAGCATGTGAACAACAACATTGATATGATGTCTGACTTGATGACTGAGCTGGAAAAGTGAATCCCTACTGCTGAAGTGAGGAGCATAATGGTCAAATTGAAGAAGTTGTCGCTCATAAAAGAAGAAGTGAGACAACAAGCCATAGCTGAAGAGGGAGGCAGTTCCGAGAAGCACAAGAAAGAGAAAGGAGAAGAAAGAAGGAAACGAAGAGGACAACAAAGAGACACCAATTATACTCTCTTTTCTTTCCACAATCTTTTAAATTTCTGCACCAATTTTAATTTTCCTGCATTTTGACTTTTCAAGATTTCAAGTTTGTTTGCTATTTTAGTTTGTGAAAATGTGTTGTTTGAATGAAATACCATACTTTGATGTTATTCCTTACATAGTTCTTTTGTTAATGATTGCTTATCTGTTAGAAAAAGGAAAACAAAGTATTTTAGGGTTAAGTAGCTTTTTTAACTCGGAAACAAAACTCTTGAAAAAAGGAAGAAAGTGAAATGTTACATTTTGATCTTTAGAACTGTTAAGGTTTTGATCCGAGTGCTTTTAAAAGTAAGGAACGAAAAGCCAAACACTCTAAATTTCTCTGAGAGAGCGTTCCAGAAAACTTTATTTATCATTCCTGAATTTGTGTTAATGTTGTTAGTACTGCAGAACCACTTCAGAACTTTAAAGGGGTAAGGGCCTTCATTCAATCAAGCTTGAGCCAAACAACCAACCTACACATCACTTCCATAGTCACCTCCATCTGGGCCATAACAATCATGCAAAATCATCCCCCACCAACAATTATTCCATCCATCAAGATAAGGAACGACAAGGAGAAAAAATTGAAATGAACATCAACAAAGAAAAGTCCAAAGACTTTGAAGGAACGTCACAAGTCAAAAACAACAAGATCAACTGCTAACAAAGAAAGAAAAAGGAATATGCTCCCCAAAAAGGGAAAGAGAAAGGCAGTAAAAAACAAAAGCATTCCCAACAATCCACAAGAAGATGTTCATAGAAAAAGAAAGATCAGTCGGTCCCTATCCCAAGTCAACCATTCCCCAAACGTATCCACCCGAGCTTAAGCCCTGATACAAACCCTAAAAGTCCCTTTGATTGAAAAAAAGTGATTCATAGGAAAGCAGCAGCAATCCAAGTTCAAGGAACTACCAGTCTTTTGGAACAATAAGTGAAAACAGTACCCATGAGTGATTGGCGAGATATGGATCAATAACCTTGCATGACTTGGATTAAAATCTTTCTTGACTTTGTGAACTGTGACATGAATATGTTTTTAGTGTGAATATTGTTCCTTGATTTCTAATGTGTGTTTGTTAGACTGCTTCTAGATAAATAAATTGATTAGCGGAAAAGAGGGTTGTTCGGGAACGAATAATAGTTAAGTTTTGGGTATTTGATGGGATAAAATTTTGTTCCCATCTGATTCATTGTTCAGTGCTAAACGCTAGTCGTTCCACCTCTTTTTGGTATGTTTTGTTATAATTATTAGTCAAATTCGATAAATGTTGATTTGCTGGAGGAGACGACTACTAGCGTGTAAAATGAGAGAAGAAAGGAAACGAAAGAGACTAAAAGTGAGTTGTCGATTACTTTGACATTTTTGATTTCATTAACCGTTCGTTTTACTCTTTGCAGACACATCTGAAAAGCAGCAAAAAGGACACTGCAACGCACGACAAAGCAAAAAAAGACACTGCAGCATGTGACAAAGCAGAAAAGGACACTGCAGTGTGCACAACAAAGCAGCCCAAGGACAGTGCGACATACATCAGAGTAGACAAATAAGTTGGTGTGCCTGAAGGTTAGAAGATCATCCTCGAAAATTAGTACAGAGAGGACAGGTCACCCTTATCCCTATCATGGGAAATCAATGCCCAACTTTTGATCAAGCTAAAAGAGGGAAACCTCCATCAAAGCTAAGTAATATAAGCTAAGTAATTTATAGAAAATTGAACAAAAAATTAGTCTAAGGCTCGAAGGGGTTTGCAATGGAGAAAAAAAAATTCAGGTGGCTATTTGGTCAAGTGGTTAACAAGAACAAAAATGCCTTTATCATTTTAACTCATGCATGCATCACAGAGAA